GGAGGCTTTCATCAGGTGATGTGTTAGGAAACTTTGGCTATCCATAGAGGCTTTCATTAGGTGATGTGTTAGCAAACTTTGGCCATCCATAGAGGTTTTCATTAGGTGATGTGTTAGCAAACTTTGGCTATCCATAGAGGTTTTCATTAGGTGATGTGTTAGCAAACTTTGACTATCCATAGAGGCTTTCATTAGGTGATGTGTTAGCAAACTGGCTATCCATAGAGGTTTTCATTAGGTGATGTGTTAGCAAACTTTGGCTATCCATAGAGGCTTTCATCAGGTGATGTGTTAGCAAACTTTGGCTATCCATAGAGGTTTTCATGAGGTGATGTGTTAGCAAACTTTGACTATCCATAGAGGCTTTCATTATGTGATGTGTTAGCAAACTTTGGCTATCCATAGTGGCTTTCATCAGGTGATGTGTTAGCAAACTTTGGCTATCCAGAGGCTTTCATTAGGTGATGTGTTAGCAAACTTTGTCTATCCATAGAGGCTTTCATTAGGTGATGTGTTAGCAAATTTTGACAGAATTCTGTTTGTAGTGGATAGTGGTATACTTTTCAGCCATTAAATTGATAAAAAATTAATAAATAAAAAAACACCCACTTTTTATGCTCTTTCAGCAATTAGTGTATGGACTCCATGGTCGCCATGGTCACCATGTAGTGTGACCTGTGACATTGGGTCAAGAACAAAGTCAAGGTTATGTACACATCCTGAGAGTGGAATGATATGTGAAGGGGAAGCTCTGGAACAAGAGATCTGTACACCAGTACCATGTCCCAGTAAGTAATTTGACACTTTGGCTTCTATTAACTATATCGTTTACATGTATGTTCTATTTCACATAAATTACAGAGGTGTTTCTATGGTCAAAATAAGTAATATTCAGAGGAACAAGCCATTTTTTGGTTTATATGCCCTTTCTATTGGAGATGTGCTTGTAATGGATCAAATCTGGTACTTTCCACAATATTGCATTTTTGTTTCTGTTGTTTTCTGTTTCGGTCAAAATTTGGTAAAAATATTGTATAAAAGCAATAAAACTTGCAACTGGATTTTGTTATAAAACCAAACAAATTCACATACTGATTGTTAAATTGTATTTTCAGTACAATTCGTCCTTGAGAGTAAAACAGGTGACGATGTAAACTTGTAAGAAAGTGTATTCGTTGCAATGATGTTTGCTTAGCACAATTTTCATCACATTGAATACAAAAGTTTAAGCCTTGTATCATGAATAACATTTTTTTTCCCCTATTTCAGTTGACGGTGGATGGTCAAATTGGTCGCCATGGACACCATGTTCGAAAACATGCGGTGGCACCAGAGAACAAGTCAGAGTTTGTGATAACCCTGCCCCACTGCATTCTGGGAGTTATTGTATTGGTGATATGTATAGAATAGATAATTGTGGTGATAATACCACATGTCCAGGTAAGTGAAATCACATCTACAGAACAAATTTAATTGGTCAATTTTGTCACCTTTCACAAAATGAACCTGAATAATATTGTCCATACATTTATTCTATGATCCAGAATGTGGTAAACTGCTGTTGGGTCCCACACAACATGTCATGTCTGATACGGGTCCTGTCAAACAATGTGAACAACTAGCATTAAGGACCTCAGTTTATAATTTCATGATTTGCACAGATTTATGAAAATCTCACAAAATCGAAGCTCTACAAGTACCATCTGAGAGTACGTACTGTATGGTGGTGACAAAACAAAAATTTGTATAATATGTATGATATTATATTATACCAGCAGGGTCAATTTCATTTCACAATTACACAAAAACATTCTGGATGCTGTATCACATTTGTACATGGTTTACAGTGCTTTGGAGTTATTTCCATGTCTTAGAATTAGATTTAACATAAAGTTTGTATAATATATTACCAATAAACTATCACTGACTGCCAATTTCATTTGAATTAACTGTGTAGTGTTAGAAAAGTTGATCATATTCTTGGGAGCAGACATCCAGGCATTTTCACTGCCTGGCAACCATCATGGTAAAAACAAAGGCTGAAAACTGTACTCTAGGCTAGTTGTCGAGACTCCCCTGAACAGTGTAACAATATTACACCTAAATAGTTGCTTCAAAGTTGAGTTTGTGCTGTTTTCTCAACTTCAGCTGTTTTTAGCGGCTCTTTGACTGGCGTTCCAAAGCAGCTCACACAGAGCCCATAGAAATACATGGTACGGTGGTGCGCGTCTTAGTATTACATAGAATGTTCTATGACAAAGCTCCGCCCCCAGAGATTCATAACAAGCATGTAAGCAGAAATGTTTTCTACTGCAAAAGTGTTCACAATGTTAATTTTACTGACAGTAAATGGTAACTGGGGTCACTGGTCAACATGGGCACCATGTAGCGTGACCTGCGGGCAAGGATTAAGTCGAAGATACAGAGTTTGTAATAACCCAGAGCCAATGAATGAAGGTGAAAAATGTCCAGGAAAGACCAGAGAACACAAATCATGTGGTAAAAATAATGATCCTTGTTATGGTAAGTTTTTTATTGAAGACATTTTAATTAAAAGATTTTAAAGGATAAAGATCCTGAGATCTGAAAACACCCATTTTTTTAGAGTTCAAAAGGGGTCACCATGTATTCAACTGCGGGTGTTTGTGGGTGTTCAGGCAACCTGTTAATGTCCAAATCTATCGCCAGACTGCTTCAGTGTTACTGAGAATCGTTACGTGTGGTTATAACGCAGTTTAATTAAGATTGAGTGTTTTTAGAGCTTTTTGATTTGCCAAGAAAACTTGATCAATCTATTCTCAGGATCACAGGAAAGCCAAAGAACGTAGCCATCAATTTTTAACTCATATCATTGTCAACAGTTTGTTTTGCTATTTTTTGTACAAAAAACCCCATCTAAAAGGTGTTTCTGTAAGGTAACATGTACTTCCCGTAGACTTATGTGAAAAAGCCAACTCCTGGCCTCTTTTAACAGCTCCTCCACACGATGGCTCTCCTTCGTTGAGAGTAGACTTTCACCAGGTTTTTACTGAAAAGGTTACAGTTTCTGGTTTGATGGTTTTTAACCCTGAGCCCCTCCTTGCACGACAGGGTACGTAATAACCGAGGAAAATATTATAGATGTAGTGATATTATTTCCCTTAACCACATACAATTCTTTCAAATATATGGTCAGTTCAGTACCGCATGATATGATGACTAAATTTTGGAAATTCTGTTAAACCACCATCTCCACTATGTAAACATTCAGCTAATTGTGTACACATCAACTGCATTTGAAATATTTCCATTTCCATCCCTTGTTGAATATGTAAAATATGACAACGACAGGTGAATTATTAAGTATGTTGTATTGGTAGTACAACTGTTTATTTTGGTGACATTAAATCTACAGGTTTGTCTAACAATTATGCCAATGTTTTTTTTTTTTATATTTAAAGTAATTTTATTTCATTTCAAAATTACAAATACACAGACAAGAAAAAAAAAAAGAAACTAGAAAAAGCCAATAACTGCCCTATTTGTATTCAAATATAGACAATCATATACATTATAGGCTTTGCCAATGTTTATAAATTCACTAGTAACTTAGTAAACCAATTTCATAAGTATATGAACATTTGAGACAGTACATGTATTTTTGTTTAAAGGTGGACTTTAAATGACAGTGTATTTTTTGTAATGCTCTAGTCTATATGGAAAAGATTGGGTTGCACAGAGTCTTAACTAAAATTTATACAACTTAAGAAAATACTTACAACCCACCTCACCTCCCCAACCATTTTTTCAATCTGAATTATAGCAATAAATTTTGGTGAATGGGTTGCGTGAGCACCCTCAGATACTTGTACACACGGTAGACCAGCCATAATCCAAAATTGCTATAATCAAATCTCTACGATTTCTGGCAAAATATCAATCGTTTTTTATGTTTAATCAAAACGTCTCAACCTGTTAACTATGTCCAGTATAAAAACTAATTTTTGAGTTTTATAAGTTTACACAATTATTTTACTACTTCTATTTTCAGGGAGTGGTGTTTGGAGTACTTGGAGTCACTGGGGCACATGTACCAATACGTGTGGCGTAGGTCAGCAATTCCGTCAACGTTTATGCAAAGACAACATATGTAGTGGACCAAACCAACAACAAAAGCCATGTCTCATCAAAAAATGTCCAACAATCTACACCCGCTAATAAAGATTTTTTTCTTGTTTTATTTGGTTTCTTTTCATAGATTTATTTGTAATATTGTTTTTTTTTATATATTCATTTATATAGTGCTCAATAATAATGTAGTAATAATTAAATATTTAATAAAATACTAAAAAAATGTTATGAAAGTGTTTTTATTGAAATATTTAACTTCATTATATATTTAATAGTGAACATGATTTGTGTACGTAAGATTTTACCATGGCAATGAATCACTTCAACGCAAAAGTCAATATTTGCACCTTAAAAAAAAAATATTGCCATGAATCGTTTTCTAAACTGTTTCAAAAATGTCTATCAAAATGTGTATGCAATTGAAAATTACAACCATATGGTCAAAAATTAATAAAACAAATAAGTAAAAATGAGCAAAATAAGGCACCAATATTTTTGTAGAAAAAAATGATGGCATTTCTGACCTTGCAGTTTTTACTTGACTAACTGAATGATTTCTTCCTTCAACTGTTCAGCCTTGTATTTCTTATAACACCGCTCAATGTATGGCAGAAAAAAACTACATGATCCACTGGAGGGAAGAAGTGTCAACAAACTCACTGGGTCTAGTAATTCCACCACCACTGAAAGTACACCTGTCATTGCCAGAGAATAAAATCATACATTATGATAACATGATGTAACCATTCTTAATGAAAACAAACAGTACTAAGTCATTCGGCAGTGCATGTTTGAAATTTCAACAAAAATGTAAACAAACAATGTATTTGAAAGAGTTTCATACATCACTGTGTGTTCAATATCGAACATGACACAGTGCAACAACTTTAAAATATTTCTTGATAATATAAATCTCAAAATATGTACAGTGAAACTTGTCTACTGGTAATATCCGAACATGAAAAGAAATGAAGAAGCTGTTCAGTTTAGATAATGATGGAGAGAAAAGAAAGTTTCAGTTTTACCGAAAGATAATCCACAATACACGCAATACGAAATATAATTACCGGTAGTACAACTTCCACCCAATATTCATCTTTTTACATAATTTACTCAATCATGTATACTTATACTTGTTGATTTATTACTACATTTCATATATAATGATTGAAATTTGAATTTTCTAAAGTGAATTCACATGAGTGGATCCATAAATATTCACGTTTGTTCAGAATTATCACAATCCATAATAATTCAGCACAATGGCAAATCCTAAATAAACCAAAGAAAACTAATCAGCAACACTGCTATTTTTCTGAAAGTTTCTTTTGCGACAGCGCAAATAATGCCAGTGGTGTTTGTTTTGACTTCAGTACATTTATTTCCAACAAGCCAACGTTCTTGAACAAATTGTTTTTACCTTCTATGCTCACAGTGCTGGAAAGTTTAAGGAAAAGATAACGAACGACAAAATCGATAGATTAAAAGGTAATTTTCACAAACATAAAATGCAACTGGGTGTATTTTAAAAATTAGTTTGATACATTTTAAATGAGTTTCGCTTACATAGCAACAGGCCAATACAATCATGTGACATAACTAACCCGAATTACGTTGGCATGTTAGACTTTCTCAGGGGCAACCAGAGGCAGCAATGCGAACACACTCATGGAGACAGCAGTTTTCATGAACAGAATATTTCACCGTCTGATGTAAGATTGAATGAAAATACCTCTATCTCTTTCATACACCCAGCCAATCTCCCAGGCAGAGTTCTATTTCTACGAATATATCTCTGACACCATGCAATCTTATGCTTGTCATTGATTGGTCGATGCGTCACAGTGGCACTACTTTCAAAGACGCCCAACAAAACATTGCCATGCAGGTGTTTGATTTTCGAGCCCAACGAAAGTGTACACATTGTTTGTAGATTCTGGCTGTTTTCAAAATTTCCGTAACACAAACGGTGTGACAGTAGAGGATTTAGCCGTCAATATCCCTAAAAGCTTTCGTTTCTTTATATTTCTTCGTCTGCCAAACGACAGGACGGTCAGTTTGATGAACCAAGTAACACCTTAGTAACCGTTATTCCGCAATAAAACTATTTTTCGTTTGTAAATTATAACTATTTCACCCTTGACAGTGCATTTACGAAAAAATCATCATTTATCGATGAAAGATTTTAAATCATGTTTTCCAGTAGGAATAAATCAACACGTGACCCCTTTAATAACAAAAATACACAAATAATATGCGTAGTAAAAGTCTTGTGGTGTTTCAGCAGAAAATGGCAGTGTGTGGTGGCTTTTGGTGATCTCATCGCAAGGAACTCTGGGAAGAAGAATGACACCCACCCTCCCTTCTCTCATGAGTCATTCATACCCAGACTGTTCTTCCCATAATGCATTTTCACATTACCTTTCCAAAATGCATTGTCAAATTACCTTCGAATTGATCCATATAAACAGAGTTAGTATCTTCTGTATTGTAAGCCATGGAGCTGCCCTCTGTGTTCACTTTAGCCAATAACATCTGCAACAGCGCCACATAGTGGTTTGCAGACTCCCATAATGCCATAGAATTAGCATAATCTAATATCAGATGCGGATAATTCTCAACAATTATCTCATTAGCAGCAGTAATATTAAGCCGTGACTGACAGAGAAGTTCCAGTGAAATGAAACCTTTCATCGTTTTCACCAGAGATGACAAAACTTTCTGAGTTGTCTCTTGTGCCACTGATTTCCAACACAGAAGAGACTGCAAATAAAACAAAGAAAGCTTAGAAAGAACTCCCGTGTGCTGAGAGTATTGAAGACACATTAAAAATTAATTCGAAATTACTTGTACTTGAGATATTGATGGAATAGCTGAAAACTAATTATGTAAATCAGGTAACTGATATGAACAGATTTGAGTGTAAAACTAATAAGGCCTGCGTAATGTAATATCTATGTACCAAATTTCATTGAAATGTGATTAGAACAAAAAAACTATGAATTATTATTAGAGAATTAATATGAACAAATTTCAACCCAAAATTAATCAGGCCTATCTATTGTTCTAGAGCATTTATGTACCAAATTTTATTCAAATGTGATGATCAGTAATTGAGATATCTGTGTTAATTAATTATTTTAATTAGGTGATTAATAAGCATAAATATTTACAAAAAAATAATTGGGTCTCTGCATAGTCCTATCCTAGGTTCATTGAAATGTGATGATGAATACTCATTAAAATCCAATTAGTGGTTCTTTATATATCAGTGGAACATTCATGGAAAAAATTAACTAATTACTAACTAACTGCAAAGACTCCCTTTTTGTGTGTCGTACACGGGAGTAAAAAAATAATGATAATACCAGGGTAATTATTCATGTAACTTCACCATCTCAATTCTACTTATTACCTGAATAGAATTCTGATATAATTAAGAACATGTGATCTCTCATTTGGCAACAAGCTGAATTGTTATAAGACAAAATAAAATTAGAATGAGTTCTGGCCGTTGATAACAATTGTAAATGTGAATGGATGGCTTCAGAGACAATTTCTAGGTGTAAAATATGGGACTAACTAATTTTATTTCTCGTGACGTAAACAAAAGTGGATTGATGGTATATGAATGTGATATTTCCTACCAAAATGTTGAACTACTAAAAAAATAAAATATGAGAGATTTCAGCATGTGTGAAATATTGTCAAGTTTGTTGAATGATTACTCCAGTAATGTCGTGTACATCAAGTCCACTTGGAAACCACTCGGCTTGCGTCAAAATAATGCTCTCATTTGTTGATCTGTTGTCCATTTATCAATACTTTTTGTGAATCTACATTTTAATTCATTTTTTATCCTTGAACATAATCCATCAAATATGTAAAAATCAGGAAATCTTAGAAAGAACACCATTGTGCTGAGAGTATTGAAGAAATGAAGTACAAATAAGGAATACTACAGTATATTTTAGAAGCACACATAGTGCTTCATATTCCTCGCACAAAGTGTGCTTTCACACATTATGAGTTGGCAGGTCGTTCATTATTGTTTCAGCAACCATGTACCATGATTTCATTGAAATTTGATGAGTGCATGGTACTCAAGATATCTGTGGAACACCTATAAATTGATTAATATATGTAATAGCACAAAATTTAAACCTATACACATATACAGCTTATCCCAGATCGCATAAGTATGTAAAAAGTTCATTGAACTCTGATGAGTAGTTCTGGAGCTGAAAATTGGCTAATTATTATGCAAATTTAGTTAATTAATTAAAAACTAATCATGTCTGTGCATTGTCTCAGAGCATCTATGTACAAAGTTTCATCAATATTCATCAAGTATTTTTTGAGATAATGATGGAGAGGCATACATACATACATACATACATACATACATACATACATACGGGCATACTAACTGCAAAGATTCCCCTTCTGTGTTTCACACATGGCAGCCACAAATGTCAATATTTTTACTTTTGTAGAGTGTTTCACAGTGAAATCATTCATAATACATTTATTGTAAACTTAAGACTATAATATGTTATAATGGTTTGTATGATATGTGGATTGTAGGAAATGTTGAAGGATTTGCCAGTGTACTAACTTTATTATGTATTGCAATAATTATGAACAAATGTGAATCTTAATGGATTCACTCATGTCAGAACTACATTTAAAATTATAAGTGAATGGAATTTAAAAATCCATGTAAATGGAAAACCAACACAATCACCAATACATAAATGCACTGAAAATCAACAAAAATTGAATGTTTAGTAAAATATTTCCTACAATTTACATCTCAATGCCATTGATCGGCATTTTGACATTTGCAGTATAAAAAAAAATTCGTTTGACGTTTGGGTCAGACACTTTTCAGGGAAGTCTAGTGTGTTTTTGCTAATTTTTGCTTTACACAATTATTATTAAATTACTTATGATATCCTGAAAATACATATTTATAGTTGGGTTTGATATGCAAAAATTAAAGCGCGGTGGTCGTCGCGCAGCGCATGTTCGAATTTCATGTAAATAAACAATGTAATTGACACGTGTTGTATAAGTCCCATATCGAACAGGAAGCGGCTCGCCGACCACCGCCCTTTAAATGTACCTGTAGTTTCAACAGATCTTCATTACAACAGCAACATGGACATGGTTCGTTGGCAATCCTTGTTACACCATGTGTGATAGATTGAGGTAATGAGGTCCTTGTAAAGCTATGTGGAGACGTTGACCTAGAGTAACCCAGTGGTGATGAAGCTCTTGGAAAACTTTGGCTTTTAGCATGTTCACATTGTTGACCAAGTGATCTACTTCCTAGTTAGAAACATAGTTAAACTATAGTAACCTTGCCCGAGTCAATCACAAAAATGAAATGAGAATTTTTCTTTTTTCCATGAGAACTGTCATTTTCTGAAAAATGTTCATTATTCAGGTGTTTGCTTTCATTTTCTATACTTATATTACTAAAAATATAAATAATCGTTAATCTTTTAATTGATCTAAAAGGTTTTGATCTGTACATACCTTTAAATGGCGGTAATTCATCAAGCCATATATATCTGGTAGCAAAATGACCGTCTCCTCTCAGCTGAAATGATGAAAAAAATAGTCACTGCTTATGGGAACACAGTTGGAATAAGTCATGGCTTGAGAAAGGTATGGTACGATGAATTAATGATCACAATATGGATCAGAACAGTTGCCAGGTTCAACTTTTTATATAAAGAAGTTGTTAAGAGGAAACTAAAGTGTTCAGTTCGAACAGTTTATTGTTTGTGGATTTTCAGAATTTCTAATATTTTAATTAATTATTAAAAATGACTTGACTGTCAGCAAATGGACTTTACTTACCACATGTGTGTGTAGGTGTGTCTTGGCTGCACTGTCAGAAAATGGACTTTACTTACCACATGTGAGTGTGTGTGTGTGTCTTGGCTTGACTGACAGCAAATGGACTTTACTTACCACATGTGAGTGTGGGTGTATCTTGGCTGGACTGCCAGCAAATGGACTTTACTTACCACATGTGAGTGTGGGTGTATCTTGGCTGGACTGCCAGCAAATGGACTTTACTTACCACATGTGAGTGTGGGTGTGTCTTGGCTGGACTGCCAGAAAATGGACTTTATGTACCACATGTGAGTATGGGTGTGTCTTGGCTGGACTGCCAGCAAATGAACTTTACTTACCACATGTGAGTGTGGGTGTGTCTTGGCTTGACTGACAGGAAATGGACTTTACTTACCACATGTGAGTGTGGGTGTGTCTTGGCTGGACTGCCAGCAAATGGACTTTACTTACCACATGTGAGTGTGGGTGTGTCTTGGCTGGACTGCCAGCAAATGGACTTTACTTACCACATGTGAGTGTGGGTGTGTCTTGGCTGGACTGCCAGCAAATGGACTTCGCTTACCACATGTGTGTGTCTTGGCTGGACTGCCAGCAAATGGACTTTACTTACCACATGTGAGTGTGTGTGTGTCTTGGCTGGACTGCCAGCAAATGGACTTTACTTACCACATGTGAGTGTGGTTGTGTCTTGGCTGGACTGCCAGAAAATCGACTTTACTTACCACATGTGAGTGTGGTTGTGTTTTGGCTTGACTGCCAGCAAATCGACTTTACTTACCACATGTGAGTGTGGGTGTGTCTTGGCTGGACTGCCAGCAAATGGACTTTACTTACCACATGTGAGTGTGGTTGTGTTTTGGCTTGACTGCCAGCAAATGGACTTTACTTACCACATATGAGTGTGGGTGTGTCTTGGCTGGACTGCCAGCAAATGGACTTTACTTACCACATGTGAGTGTGTGTGTGTCTTGGCTGGACTGCCAGCAAATGGACTTTACTTACCACATGTGAGTGTGGTTGTGTTTTGGCTTGACTGCCAGCAAATGGACTTTACTTACCACATGTGAGTGTGGGTGTGGCTTGGCTGGACTGCCAGAAAATGGACTTTATTTACCACATGTGAGTGTGGGTGTGTCTTGGCTGGACTGCCAGGAAATGGACTTTACTTACCACATGTGAGTGTGGGTGTGTCTTGGCTTGACTGCAAAGAAATGGACTTTACTCACCACATGTGAGTGTGGGTGTGTTGGCTGGACTGCCAGGAAATGGACTTTACTTACCACATGTGAGTGTGGGTGTGTCTTGGCTGGACTGCCAGCAAAGGGGTCTTCACTTTGTTCATTTAATCTATCCAGGTAAATTCTGAGCAGCAACTCCTGGAAAAATCAGAGCTTATGATGGGTAATATTACAGAATGAGATGTCCTCAAATGAAAATAACTTATATACTCTACAAATGTCAGGATGGGGCAATAACATACCGTTAATATTACATATAATCTCAGACAAAAAATGTCAGAAAGTCGTAACCACTTCATCAAAGACTTTGGTGTGTACAAAGGCAGCGATTTATTTTAAATTCTGTGCAATTTGGAGTTCATTCTATTCATGAGCAAATGTTGGCTGATGTGCTCTTTTAGCTGTGTTTCGCATCTTCATGTGTATTTAACATCAATTCAAAGAATGAATGACAGCTTCATCCTGACTGAGACTCGGGCATCCAAAAAGTATATGTCATTTTGATCTGTTTTTGATCAAGGTTTTTTTGATTTTTTGTTTTTAATTTGCTAATCAATATAGAAATGACAGTTTAATTTGTTATTTGAGTTCTGAACACCACTACTATTGAGCAAACATGTTACTATGAATACTGCAGTACGTATTAATAATGCTCATGATATTTCTGAGTTAAAGATGGACAAGAAAAACATACTTTTGACACGCAAATTCTTCAAGATCTTGTACTTATAGAGACAAAGTCGGCAGCAGTGCACATTTAATATAAACAATGTATTTCACCAGAAATTCATATTGAATCCTGACCTAATTTGATGACAACAGTGCATGGTTTGAATTCACTTACCAGGACTTTGGGATAAATAGACTCTCGCTCATTGGCCGATATCAACGCCTCTAAGTAGTTTCGAATGTGAGTGTTGTGATGTAATTCACCAACATTAATCTATAAATGAACAAAAAAGCAAACTCAGTTAACCTTTTCACCACCAGTTCCCACTTTTCAACATAAATTCACAAACTGCCCCATTTATAGTCTGCACTTTCCTTTGGAAATTATGACAAAAAATGCCAAATTTTTTGAGTAAAACAGAAAATAGTCTAAAATTTTGTATGTTGGCTCAAAAAATTAGGGTTCATTTCCAGAAATATTGAAGAATATAAGAAAAAAAAGCAGACAAATTTGGGCGAGGAAGTCTGGTGGTGAAAAGGTTAAAAACACAAAATCAATGTAACAAAGACCAAACATACATATATGCTGATTCCACAATACTGAAACTGAACAAAAAACATTGCCATAATAAATCAACATTTAAATATTTTTGAAAACTATAACAACTTACATCTAACAAATCAAGTGCTCTATCCATGTCTATACTATTGTTGTCATGGAGATGAATTAGTATCTCTATCAATACATCTGCTCTGTGTCTTCTTAGTAACTACAAACAAACAAACAAAACATCAACATGTACATGTACAGACTTGAAAGAATGAAATGAGCAGCATCTCACCTGGAGAATGATGAAAACGACAGAAATTAATTGACGAATGAAAAGCAAATTGCAACACATTTGGATTGTGAAAAATTTGATTTTTTGATTTGAAAAACTCAAAAGAATTAGAATTTACATTCGCTACTATTAAAGCAAATGAAGTAACAAACAACTATTACTTTCCATTGCTGATTTTACTGTAAACTCCAATATATTTCACGTGTTTATTGATTTGTACTTCACATGTGTTACTGAGAATCTGCTTAAAGCCATTTTGGTCACACTTGTGGAAATTTTAATATTCAAGATGGCGACCAAGATAGCTGTTATGTTCTACATGGGACACAATACCTTGGTTAATTTCTGTTTATACAATGGAAAATTTCCACTGCATAAGTGATACCATTGGTTGGAAAAATATTTGATTAATGCGTTTGTAGAACTGGAACTTTACTGCACATTACAATATATAGATATCAAAGTAGTGTACCATTATTTTTATAAATCTTTGTTTTTAGTTTATATGTTGTCTGCAGCTGGACTAGAATAAAAAGCTACAGTGTATTAATTCTGGTATAAATACAGTGATAACTGTGAATGCATACCTGCCCTATATGAGACAGTCCTGCTTTGTTATCATCTAATAGTAAATGGTGATGTTGTACAAATACATCAGTGATAGCATCTTTTGTCATGGACATTAAGACAGAACAGGCGGCTTCTGGTTCACACATTCTAAGATACAATATGGAAGTTGCCACACAATCTAGGGAATGACATCTAAGAATATAAATAACATAAAAATAATCATTAATTTGTTATTTTACATTTTAGAAAAATATAAACCGCCAACCCCTCCAAAATCATATAAGGGATTTGAATTAATATGAATTAAACAAGTTCTTGAATTGTTTTGTTTATAACAAATGCATACAACAATTCAAACTTACTTTTCCAGGGTTCGTTTCTCATCTCTATGAGTACTGTTACTCTGTAACATCAATAGTGCCTTTTCATCACTGTATTGTCTTAGATTAGAAACCAATATCACTTCTGAAAGCTTTGTCGGTTTATAAGTATTATAGATTTCAAGAATTATATCACTTGTCTCCTGAAAAGTACAGATTTTATATTAAACAGGTTATTGCATTAAATAATATCTGTGACTTCTCAAGTTTAAGAAATATATAAAGTTTGAACAATCAGATAATGACAGAGATATGATATGGCCACCAGATGGTCATTTTAAGACTGATCCGGAATTGCTGAATTCTTGATTTTAATGAATCAACATTGAAACAACCACAATTCAGCCATATAATATGGATAACTAAATGAACAAATATGCACAAGTGCATAAATTTGATCGGACAGGACAGAAATAAAGCTTAGAAACAGCATTTGTTAAAAAAAAATGGCCACCAGAAGACCATTTTGAATAAAATCCAAAAAACAAAATTTGAAGATTACCAAATTACACCAAAATATATCTGTCTAATTTTTTTACATATATTAAAAAATTTGGTGCAATCCTGTTAGCAGCAGGGTGCACTCTGATGAGGTTGTATCTTTCAACAGATAGTGACAATTGCTTTTATTATCATGTCAAACGAGAGGTCTTTTTGTACAATACACATTACCAAAAGGCAAAATTGTTATGAGAAAGGGGCAGGCAGATGCTAATCCATCAACTTACAAATTCTGAATTTGAGAGACTTGAAAGTTATATTACCAACTCAACTTTTGAACTAAAATATTAAATTGGATGTTTTATTCCTCAAGTTTGAATACTAGTATATGCACAAATATGGCATGTGAATCATACTCCAATCATAAATGTGTGCTGTAAACATGAAGAAAAAGAAGTTGTGTTGATATCATGACTTACCTCATTGATGTTATCATCTGATGTTGGTGTAAATAATACAGAGTCCATGTAATGTAACAAACCTGAATATCGAGAGCAACTTTCCTGAAACAAAAGGGATAGCATTCCAAGTGTAATCTATTTGGTAGAGCTATATGCATTTGTACATATTATTCTTTTTTTTATCAGTGCTATTTTTTTTATCTGTTGTTATTTTATTGTTCTTTCTACAAAGATCCCACATCAGTTACAGTTTTAATAAAGATTATTATTATTATGAATAATATGACAATAAATTACTTATTGGTGCAATATTCAGACAAAATAGCCATTTTGTTATTTTGAATGTGAACAAGAAACAAGTCCTGTTATATCTGCGTTGATAATATGACATAATCTTTACCTTTATCTTGATATCCTGTTTATGATTACTGACGATATCCGGTAAACACAGCCCAGACATTTTGTAATACGGTATTGAGAGAACACATTCTTTACCGCTATCTCTGAAATTGTACAGAATTTCAGATTCAGATTACAGTTCACTCTGAAAAGCATTTCATTCAGTTATCACAAAAATACCTAAATAATAAAATTGTGACAGTGTGGCAAAGATCATACCTGGTGTAGGGTACTGTGGTTACAGGTGATGTGAAAGTGGCAAGAGCCACAAGTGATTTAGGGTGGTTGTGTTAGACTGTAGGCATGGCAACTAGGGTCACACCTGGTGTTGGGTGTTGATGTGGGTATAAGAAAGGGTTCCACCTGGCACAGAGTAGAACATTTACTTATCCGATGTGGGTGTGGCAAAGGGAACACTTGTGTGAAATGAAGTGTGGTGTGGGTATGGCAAAGGGAACACTTGTGTGGGGTGACGTGTGGTGTGGGTGTGGCAAAGGGAACACTTGTGTGGGCTAATGTGTGGTGTGGGTGTAACAAAGGGAACACTTGTGTGGGGTGACGTGTGGTGTGGGTGTAGCAAAGGCAACGTGTGGTGTGGGTGTAGCAAAGGCAACACTTGTGTGGGGTGACGTGTGGTGTGGGTGTAGCAAAGGCAACACTTGTGTGGGGTGACGTGTGGTGTGGGTGTAGCAAAGGCAACGTGTGGTGTGGGTGTAGCAAAGGCAATGTGTGGTGTGGGTGTGGCAAAGGCAACACTTGTGTGGGGTGACGTGTGGTGTGGGTGTAGCAAAGGCAACGTGTGGGTGTAGCAAAAGCAACACTTGTGTGGGGTGACGTGTGGTGTGGATGTAGCAAAGGGAACACTTGTGTGGGGTGACGTGTGGTGTGGGTGTAGCAAAGGGAATACCCGTGTGGGGTGACGT